TGGGAGTTCAAGAGGTGGCCATGGATGGATAACTTCGAAACCCCATTTCTTGGTTCACCACGATGGGGGGGGGGGGGCGTATTGTACTGTTCTTGACCATTTCGGCATTCTTGTCTTCTTGCAACCAGATAATGTCTCTAGGATTAACCAAAGTGGTTGTGGTCGGGCACTTGCCTTCCAGACACGGGTTTAGTGACCAAGATTTGAATGTTCTTCCATCTCTTTTTCAGGCAACTTTCCAGAGACCAACCTCGGAGACCCTGCAAGTATCTCTTACAGGATCACTGCGGACGAAGGTAGACAGCAACGGGGTTGATGTAATGGTGGCGCTATACGAGAACAGCCTCGTGAACGACTGCCCGAGAGGAGAGAACAAAGGGCGAGTCCTGTCCAACGACTACGTCGTTAGGAAGCTCGAGAAGCTCTGCACTGTCAAAGACATCTCAGCCAAGAAGACAGTCTCTGGAACTGCACATTTCACTCTCTGGGACGGATTCAACTCTACCAAATGCGGAGTCGTCCTCTTCCTCCAAAACACCTCTCTCCAAATTTTTGGTACCCAGAATTTTCAGTTGCCCGATGAGATTTGAGATCGAAGAAGAAGAAGAAGGAGAAGAACCCTTTTGCTGCCACACATAATTTCATTCATTGCTTTGTGAAATCCTTTGTCCAATCTTTTGTTATTACAGTTGCACAGACATGTGTCCGAATAAGCAAGAACTGGTACGTGTACGTACGGAGAATCATTAAACCACGTCCTGATGCCTTTGTCTCTACGGCAATGCCAACCAATTTGAACAACGTAAAATTATTATGCTTCTTCGGGTTCGGGTCGTACCTTTAATTACGAAAACACCCCCACTTGGGACTTTTCGAGTTTTCTACACGAAGGTACGAGTGATAGATGCGCGGACTTCACGGGAGGTTATAAATTATAAAACAATGAAGCCTCTGAAATCCGAATTGAGTGTTTGAAGAAAAACTCGTGACTCGCGCAAGGGAAAACGCCATTTCTCGAATCCAGTTCTTCAGAATTCACAGCCTCTTCTTTGTTTTTTTCCTCTCTTTCATCGAACTCACTCAGCCTCTGCTTCTGATTAGAGAGAGGGATTCATCGGAAGTTTTTGTTCTCCGATCTCCGTTGATTTTTCGGATGGCGATCTCCGACCGGCAACAGTCGCGCTCGGACAAGAAGTTGTTCAGGCTTTGCCCTTTCTGGCAGACGGGAGCTACTTTCTCTTCTTCGTCGTCTACGCAGCACCTGAACCATGGTAGCCACCGTGGTCGCCATAGTAATCGGAATCCGGATATTTCCGGCGGCTCCAGGCCTTCCTCCGCCGTGACTGTCTCCTCCATCGCCAGATCGCTCCTCCCGACTCACCGTCGTCTCCGGCTAGATCCTTCCGGTTACCTCTACTTCCCGTGTACGTCCTCTTCTCTCGATTTTTATGATTCATGTGACTGATCGATGTTTCTTTCTCAAAACTTACTTGTTTTGGAATTGATAGTTCTTTGACGTTTGTACTGGGAATTGTGACTGTTGGTCTCCTGGAGAGCAAAAAATTTCGTTGGGGAATTTGAAATGAAACCTTAATCTTTTTTGTATGCTAATATTGTTCAATCTTCGCTCGGTGGCAATGTATTCATGCTTGGGAGTCCCGATTCTCTAACTGGAATCCGCTTTGAGCAAACTGATTTAAGTCTCTTGCTTGCTTTGTAGATGAACCTGGCAAACAAGTTCGGAGTGCGATTAAGCTGAAAAACACAAGCAAATCTCATACTGCATTTAAGGTAATGGATAACTTTGGCAATTACAAGTATCCGTGTGGAAATTCACATCCATGGTTGTCATTAAATGATTAAGTGGCCAGCTTCCATATTCAGCACATTACCTTTGCGCATTGGGTTTCCGCATTTGCATATACTTTGAGTGGTCTCTGTATTAGTTTTTCCTTATCTTGACAGACAAATGGCGTAAGCTAAATTACGCGTAGTTAATGCTGAGGATATGACTTAATAGCTGACTAGGTTTTTCTGTTTTCAGGCAAGCCTACCGATTTTGTTATGCTTTTTTTTGCCTAATTAGTTTGCCTCTACTTGTTTAGTTTCAAACAACTGCACCAAAGAGCTGTTACATGCGTCCTCCCGGTGGTGTCTTGGCGCCCGGAGAGAGTATTATCGCGACCGGTAATGAGATTCGGGAAAAACAAGTTTTGTTCTTTTGGGGTTTTCTCTTTGCGGCATGATCTCTAATTCCCCTGAAAATGTTTTACAAATGCAGTGTTCAAGTTCGTGGAACATCCAGAGAACCACGAAAAACAGCAGTTGGACCAGAAGAGCAAGGTTAAGTTTAAGATAATGAGCCTGAAGGTGAAACCAGGAATAGAGTATGTTCCTGAGCTGGTATGTTTTGTTGCTCCATCTAACTTTATAGGTATAGTTCTTGTTGTGCTAAAACACAACCTTTGTTTCGAGATCTTTTTTCGTAGGCTAATCTAATGAATGAAAGTCAACTTTGTCACAAAATATTTTCTCGTTAAGATGTGTCTGATATAAGCTGAACTGGCTCTGCTGGATGGTAATATTGTATTCATCGGCTTCTATTGCAGTTTGATGAGCAAAAGGATCAAGTAACAGTAGAGCGAATCTTGCGGGTCGTGTTCCTTGACGTAGAGCGCCCGAGCCCTGTAAAGTTTCAGTATTTTTTTTATTTTTATTTTTACTCTGATGCATCTGATCTTCATCACTAATGATAAGACCACATGACCATATTTCAGTCTTTCAGTAAAATATGACTGATGTTACTTCTGTTTTTTTGTTTGTTCAGGCGATGGAGAAACTAAAACGTCAACTGGCAGAAGCGGAAGCGGAACTCGAAGCCCGAAAGAAGCCAGTGCCCGAGACAGGTGCTCGTGTAGTTGGGGAGGGACTTGTTATAGACGAATGGGTATGTATAAAGATTCCGACTTTGGCACATTTCTGTTTCCTCCTTTATATCATTATATTGATTCACCAATGGTTTTCATATTTCAGAAGGAGAGGAGGGAGAAGTACCTTGCTCGACAACAGGTCGAAGCCGTAGATTCCTCCTGAAACACGGTGACTAAACTCCTCTCTTTCTCTTCTCTTCTCCCGATGCCTCTATTCTCTCCGAAACTTGGCGTCGTCCCCATCTGAATTCAATGAGGACAACGAATGAGTTTGATAGCTTCCCCCATGCGCTGCGTTTTGTCGCTTCTTCTGTCTTTTTCGTTGTGTATATAAGCTCTATGGTTATTTTTTTTCCCCTGGTTTATGGGAATAAACGGCCAGATTAGATGGGCATATCATCAAATCTAAGTCATGTATCTCTGTGTGTGTGTGTATCTTTAAGGCGCTTCATTTTTCTTTGTGTCATCTCTTATGTTTCTATGTTCTGTAATCTCTTGGATCCTTTTGTTCTGCCAATCTCTTGCAATGTCGTGTAGTGTGCGTGTGATTCACCTCGGTTTGTGTTCTCAATAAATGTGATCTGCTTGCTTATGTTTTTTTATGATTATTTTTTTAAAAGTAATCACAAGTTTATAGTATATAGTTTTCCTTATACTATTTTAGGTTTCTCGATGATTGATGTTTGTTATCGAAGTTACTGTATACCCCTTGTTACGTTTGTGTAATGTTTTTTAAATTGATTTACAGAGGAAAAAACAAAGGGACAGTATATATATAGATATTCGCTTAGAACTAATTCTGTAGATGGATTCACTTTGGGTTTGAAATTTTGAAAGGTAGCCGCACTTATTTTAAAAAATTTTAATATATGATTATTTAAACTGTGTGTTAATCCATGAACTCTTTTATTCATTTTTAAATAACTGACTACAAATTTTACACAAGAGGCAAGTTTGTTTGGTTAATCCAAAAAAAAAACATTAATTTTAAAATCAGTTATAAGATTCAGATTTTTGTATGACTCTCTAAGTGACTGTTTTACATTACTGTCTGAATCCCTACTAATATAACCAATGGGGAATCAAATGGCATATTAATGTTTAGCATTGTAATTATCTGTTAAGTTTTTTTAATTAATTAAGAATCGGATTTGAGAATATTTTAGAAGCTTCCAAATCAATATATAATTTTATTAGGTAAAAGGAATAAGATCTTGAAGGGGAAAGCATGCATGACCACAAATATATATATATATACACACACACTCGATAACTACTACATATATGATATATCTTTGTGTCTCTCATTCACACCAATCGAGACAATAATATTAGGAAAATATGATATAACCGTTCGTTATTATATTATAGTATAATATATGTGATTTGTAGAGTTTTTTTTTTTGTTTTGTTTGTAGGTTCTTTGTCTCCCCAACATTCAAAAATAATATTTTTTGAAGGAATATTGTATGAATGAATTCTAATTAAATTTGCCAGACGTATATCTTATCTTATGTGATTACATCTAATAATTTCGTTTTTAAATAACTATTTTAAATTAAAAAAAAAGTTCAACTGAGGAGTTATTTTAAGTACGCATGGTACGTGTCCTGTCCCATGCATCGTGGATACACTTACACCATGCAATGTGAGGCCGCTAGTTAGGTTTCTTGCATTTAATAAAACATACATACATATATATATATATATATATATATATATATATCGCATTCTGATAATATAATATGAGGTATTATTATTCATTATCTTTTAATAAATAATGTGTCATCGCACCGTTTTATATTTTTTATTTAGAACGATTAAATGTTGCCTTTTAAAAGTTTCTGATGATTAAATCCCGTATTGTATTAAATATTAAATTAATAACCGACAAAGTCTCATATTATTTTAATTGTATCAGTTTCAATGATATTCATACAGTAAAATTTGGAAGAAGAAAAAATTCTGAATTAAAATGCCAATGGTATGATATCATAGAGCTGGACAGTATATTTAATTATAATTTGGCATATGGATTGTAGTGGCATTTAGCTACGTACAGGCATGGGCTCTTTCATTTTTGGTGGTGTCTATAATAATATACCACATTGCACATTCACAAAATACCCACTAAAATCTGTATTATCTGATTTATATTCAAAACGTAACGGTGGTTTGTATATTCTTTTAATCATGATGATATCATATATATATATATATATATATATATATAATATTATTTAGTTACGTGTTTTAAAATGCACATATTGAGACTATACGTTATACGGATTATATGTGTATATATATCATTGTATATGGCTCACGTCAAAGCCAACATCCAAATAGATGCAACGTTTAGCTATAAAAGGTATGAAAAGCGGGAGAGACGTGATTATGCTTTTTGTTTCTTTAAAAAAAAAATTTATTTGTACCCTTAATTAGTAATTTCTCTTGTGTATGAACATATTGTAGTCCATCAACTAGGAACCGTAATTTCGGTCTCTCTCTCACACACATATATAATAAATGGAAGAAAATATAATCGTATTAAAAAAATTTATAGCATAATTCTGTAAAATAAAATTATCTAAATTGGATATAAAAAATGATAACATCTGAATTAAAATAAAAACTAAATAAGTCTATTTTTAATTCTATTTTTTAAATAACCAAATTATTAATTCACTCGAAATTTGGAATATGATTTTTAAATATATGGTACGCGCAAAATAATATCAAATATATAGAGATAGGGGTCACTGTAATATTCTGACGTTTCCCAACTTTAATTTATAATATTTTAATGAATTGTTACAATCGTTTTCGCTTGGATCGCAAAAGCATCTTCTAGAAAAGGCTCAAGTGTTGTTTTTAAATTTAGTCACGAAATTGAGTGAGAAGGACGAGCAAGCAAATGATGCAATCAAGTTTGAAAATAAAATAAAATTCTGTATATTTTTATTGTTATTTATTACGGAAAAGACCAGCAGAATTGATGGTGGACAAATTTGCATGATTTTCGATTGATCCAGTTTTAGTTTTTTAATTAAAAATATTTGTATTGATTTAGATCTCAATTTTTTTAATTTGATTTAAATAAAACTACACCTTATCATTTTAAAATTATATCGAAAGCGGAACATTGGATTTAGATTTCATTTTGTAAGAAAATTGGAACATTTGTTTTTAGAGAAAATTGGGTTCAAATTTCAATTTTACCTCTAAATCGGAACATTTTTATTTCAAATATATATTATAAGCTAAACTCATATATATAACTTCAAAAATATTGTTGTGGAAATTATTATTTCCTAAATTGGGTTGTTGCGATTATTTCTCACTGATTGGGATAATCATCTACCAATAGTAGCATCCCGTTAGCTGAAAAATTAAATAATATTTGACCAAATTATAGCATTCTTTTGTCGTTTTCTGACACGTCGATTGTTAAATTTAGAATAATTTCCATCTGAATAGAAGACTCGGGCTTTCGTTTCATCGCGCAATAAAATATATATATATATAGGTGAGATTTGATTTAATATATATATATATATATATATATATATGAAATACTCGATTATGTGGTGAATCAATTTCAATGCAAGAATATCATTATTTCAACGAGGTTATAGTGTTTTGACTATTTTGCATACCTAAGGAAGGATTACAATTTAAAAATTCAGTAATTTGAATAAATAGGTTTATTTCTCCCTAAATAAAAATCGATTAATTAGCTCCTCTACTTAATTAGAATTAAAAAATACCAGCTAATTAATTCCCTTGTTTACAATTTTCTGCAAATGAATTTCTAAGCAAACTGCTTTTAATTACGTACATTGGTTTTTACATATATATATATATATTTTATGATCGATATAGGATATATTAACCAGATAATATAGACGTTTATACGATTATATAGGAAATATCGAAAACGTTTTAAATTCCACAAATAAATATAGAAAATTTAAATTTTTTAAAATATAATACAGATTTTACAAATTTTTTTCATAAATTCTAACAACGACATTTGGAATTCTACACAATTATACCCATGTGACCATGTCATCAAAACGTGTGATAAATTTGTCACATAAAAAATAATTCAAATTTTTTTATAAAAAAATAAAATTTTAAAATTTAATTATAAATACATTAAAAAATTACAATATATACATATGTACATATACATACATACATATATATACACATACACATACATACATATATATATATATGTATGTATACATATATGTATGTATATGCATATATTATAAATTTTTGTTTCTTATTTTGAAATTATTTCTAAGCGCTGCATGCAGTTTTATCACGTGGTTATGTTTTTGTCAAATTTTTAGCGTTTATATAGATTCATACCAAAAATTATAAAGTTTATATATACACTTTATTAGATAGATCATTATTAAATCTGCTCAAGAGAAAAATACGAAATAAAATGCAATGAACGTTCAGTATAATGCTAAATATATTTCGAAGCCTTTAGATCGAGTTTCCAAACAAAATATGTAACTATTTCTCGCCGTTATTCGAATCGTATTCTTATTTATAAGATTTGCCATAGTCTTGTCTTTGGATATATATGTTCACAAAAAAAGGAAAAGAAGAAAGATAGTATATATGTGGGTGCATATATATATATACACACTATATGATATTTGATAATATGTATAGTTTGATTAATTGCTATTTTGTATTTGTCTCCTCGAGATTCAAAATGTGTCCCAAACTTAATTTGACAAAGAACATGGAATGGGACTTTATCTTGACAAAAAGAAAAGAGGGAATATATATATATATATACACTATATGGTATTTGATAATATGTATATTTTGATTAATTGCTATTTTGTATTTATCTCCTCGAGATTCAAAATGTGTCCCAAACTTAATTTGACAAAGAACATGGAATGGGACTTTATCTTGACAAAAAGAAAAGAGGGAATATATATATATATATACACTATATGGTATTTGATAATATGTATATTTTGATTAATTGCTATTTTGTATTTATCTCCTCGAGATTCAAAATGTGCCCCAAACTTAATTTGACAAAGAACATGGAATGGGACTTTATCTTGACAAAAAGAAAAGAGGGAATATATATATATATATAAGCCTCGAGTAGTCAAATGCCCTTTTGCAATTATTCTAAAACCTACGTTGAATTTTGTCGAAAACAAACAAACACTCAACTGCATATGTCAACAAATTGATCTTGCTCGTATATATATATATATATGTATGTATGTATGTATGTACTTGAAAATAACTTGAATCTTTAAAATCGTTAGAAAACAGACACGTCCTACGATCCTATAGTAGATTAATTATTATTTTTGTTCACTTGTATGTGTTCTTAACTTACAAAGCATTCATTCGGTTCTTTAATTACGTTCTTCATGAAATGACATATATATACACGTGTAAATATAGCTTCATGGTAATGATGCATGGTTCAAATTTAACCTAACTAAAGCCGAAAAAAACATTTATATGTTACCGTTTTCGTTGCCATTTTCATGTTTTTTTTTTCAAATAATTTCTAGATATGTCTTGTAACTACAGCGTTGTCACGGAGTAATACGACGTCAAATCTCTGTTACTTAATTATTTATATTATACGTACGTGTTAACCCTCTGATGATTAAACTATTAATCACTTTGACGTAAATGGAATTTAGTTGTAAAGATAGATATATTGAGTAACTGCGCACGTAACGGATCTGTCTCGAAAACTGCTGGTTGATTTCAGACAAGGAGACCAGAACAAAAGGAACCTTCCTCATATATACATACACACATAGATACATATAGGCGTTACTCGGTTTTGGCCACGTGTCACCTTACATATAATTTCCTTAAATTAAACACGTATAAGCATATATATAGATGCGATTCATCTTGTGTGATTAAAATTAAATCATCATATATTGTATAACACTTAACACCGGTTCGGTAAATATTGTTGCTAAATCCAAATTACGCATGTGTAATTATCGGAATTCTTTTTTTTTTCCTGCAATTCATGTAACTTTTTTTTTTGTATATATGGTGGTGACTTTTGGGAGGATGTTTTAGAGAGAGAGAGAGAGAGAGGAATATATAGTGTAAAGAAGGGACACGTAAGTTGAAAGATGATGAAAGGGCGGTACCGAATCTCCTTTGACTTGACCTTGCATGTATCTATCTATATATACACGTTCGATCGTATAATGGTATACGTATGTACGTGCACATGTTTATATTCCATGCACTGAGACATTTTCCCTCTAATCCACATCTCTAACAAGATAAGCCCCATCTCTCTCTCTCTCTCTAGATCTGCGACATATATATAAGCACTATATATAGAAAATGGGGAAATCAAAGTGTTGCGAGGAAGAAGACGTGAAGAAAGGGCCATGGACTCCTGAGGAAGACGAGAAGCTCGTCGAGTACATTCAAAAGCACGGTCCATGCAAATGGCGCACCCTCCCCAAGCTCGCCGGTCATTATCTAATTTCTATCATCCAATTTTACGTTATCATGTATAACCCTTAATTATAATTTACTCATATATTTATATGCATGAATCTAAAATTAGGGTTGAAACGATGCGGGAAGAGTTGCAGACTTCGATGGACGAACTATCTAAGACCCGACATCAAGAGAGGTGAGTTCTCTCCTCAAGAAGAAGACATCATCATTCAGTTGCACCGTGTTCTTGGAAACAAGTTAGTCCTCTCTCTGTTCTTCTTCTTGTTTCAATTTCCTTTCTACGTTACATCTTCAATATCTTTTAGTTTATTAAATTTGATTATATATATATATATATATATATATATATCCAAAGTTTTCTACTCGTCTACCTACTTCATAGACTTTTTCTCTATAAACTTATTATGAAAATGTGTAGTATAATAATGCCATAGACAAGTTTTTCTCCCTCTCTTGCATATTCAATAGTTTCAATCTTAGCAAGTCAAATACTTTTTGATTTCAGTTTTTTTTTTTTAATTTATTTCGATTTTGACTCTATAGCATGGATCATTCTTCTTGATTTGTTGGGTATTAGGTGGTCCGCCATCGCTACACATTTGCCGGGAAGAACCGACAACGAGATTAAAAACTATTGGAACACGCATATAAAGAAGAAACTTGTACGGATGGGGATCGATCCCGTCACTCACTGTCCTAAGATCAATCTCCTCCAACTCTCTTCGATTCTCAACTCGTCTCTCTTGTTCAAAACGCCTTTGCAACAAGACAGCGTTCCGATCAACCCGTTACTCGACCCGACCTCCTCCAATTCCGCGTATCTTAACCCCGGATTCTTGAACCAGCTTGCAGCCACTCTCTTAACCGATCTAAGCAAAAACCCTCCTCCGTACAACGACCAAACCGGTTCTTACCAGCTCCAAACCGATCTAAACCATCAGTTAGCGATCAGTAACCAGCTTAGTCTTGATCATCAAACCGGTTTGCTCAACTCCGTACCGGCTCAGTTGCAGACAATCGGAGAGCACGCAAACGAGTACTCGGTTCAAGCCGGTTTGGATAATCAGAGTATGAGCCATGTTCCTTTAACGACCGGTTGGAATCTCGGTTCGATCTTATCCGCAACGCCGTCGAGCAGCTCGACGCCGTTGAATTCGTCATCGGCGGCTTATATGAACGGCAGAAGCGAAGACGACAGAGAGAGCTATGGCAATGACATGTTGATGTTTGATCATTATCATCATCATCATCATCATCATAATAATCCTCATGATTCCTGAAATCTATCATGATTATGTATATATGTATGTATGCGCTCATTTTTTTTCTTTTTTTTTTTGGTTTGTAAGTTTTTACATTTTGCATTTTAGGCGTTATTAATTTATTTGAGCTTTCCCCCCCTTCTTATCTTGTATTTGGTTTGTATCAAAAATTATTAATTACAATTATTTTCCCTTTCTTTGATAATTTATGCAGTCTTTTCTTATTGACACCAATTGTTACATTTCTCATATTTGGGTACATTCGCATGCACGAGAACGAGGGTCTATTTTTCTAATTAAGATGAACTGTTATGATTACAATTTTTCTAATTAAGTTCGTGTTAATTAATTTTTCCCATCTGGGGTTTAATACAAATTAATGTGCATATTATCCTAATGATAACTTGGAGAAGATCTATAAGGGTATTACAATTGAATACAATTATGTGATATCATTTGTTTTTTGGTACTCTATCGATTTAATCTCTGGTCTTATTTATGGGATCGATTTCTATGATTTATAAACTAAATTTCTTAGGTCTATACATCAAAATTTTAGTCAAAATGGGAAAAATATTTATCCAACGATAAAAGATAATAATTAAAAACTTGTTTATACTTACAAACCGGTGTAGATCAGTAGTATTATAGATACTAAACTCTAGTTGTTATTAAAATTAATTCGGTTAAAAGTGGAAGTGCCATTTTTTCTTGAATTTATCAGTCCAAAAACTTGTATTTTTTAGCAGCGGTCGTTTCGGTATTCGGTTCGGGTTCGGTTCGAAAATAGTTTAGTTCGGTTCTTTCAATTTTATAAAAATATACCAATAAGTTATTATTTCATATTCAGTTCGGTTCGGTTTTGATTCGGTTTTAGTTTTTATTAATAAAATTTTAGATGTTTTTAAGAAATTTTCGATTTTTTAGGGTTTTTAAAAATTCAATTCTAAAAAATTCGATTTTCAAAATTATCGTTCGAAAATTTTGTATCATTCGATTCGAAAAAAATATCATATTTTCAATTCGATAAGGTTCGGTTTTGAAAATCGTAACTCGATGTCCACCCTGTTTGGTTTTAGGGCGAGTTTCTAGTAAATTCACGCATTTTTGAGATATAATCCACTAACTATTGCATTTGATCAAATAGTCAAATCTATAGGCAATGTCTGAATTGGAAAACCTTGTTTAAACTCTTATCCACGGACCCCCTTCCATCAGGCAAAACCGAAATCAGCGAAAATGGTGGCGAAGCTCTGCCTCTTCCGAGCTCAGTGTCTTCCCCTGGCGTTCTTCTCTCACCCATTTCGCTTTCCCCGCAAACCCTCTCCCTCACCAAAAACCCTAATCGTCTGTCTTTTCTCCTCCAATGCCTCTGTGTCCGCCCATGGTCTATCGTATGGCCCATCTCTGCTGAAAGGCAAGAACCCGTTTCGGGACGGAGTGGGATTGACCCAAATCGATCGACACAGAGATACCCAGAGGGAAAAGGATGGAGATTTCGATGAACTAGAGGAGAAATTCGTTCTGGATGAAGATGATTTCTCAAGAGTTTTCGAGATTTCGGCGATTCGGGTCCCAGCGAAGGACTGCTTCGCGCTCGAGAGCCGTCTCCGTGGGCATCTTCTTAACTGGCCGAGAATCCGGAACATCGCTAGGGTTCCCGGCGATGAAGTCGATGAAGATGTGATGAGGCTATTGGGAAGTAAAACCGGAGAAGAAGAAGAAGAAGATCATAGTGCTGTAGATTCTGTGAATCGGAGAATACGGGGAAAAGCAGAGAGTGATGGAGAGAGACTGAGCCCGGTCTTGTACAGAGATAAGCTTGCGAGAACGTTTAACTCAAATGGGTATGTGAAATTCAGGAACTTGGCGAAGATTTCTCGGCCGAAGAGGATACGGAAGCAGGAGAAGGGTGATGAAAAGGAAAAGGAGAAGGGAAGAGGACGGAACGAATTCGCGATGGTGGAAGTGATGGAAGACGGCGGAGAAGCTGAGGATATGGAGGGGCTGTTGGGGAAAGAGGATGGGA